TTGTACATTTCTTATTGATACTTCAGATGGAAATGGACATCACCGTCAGTTAATGAAATGGAAATGTATGTATATTAAAAGGAGGTTTTTGTTATTCTTGCCGTGAATAGAATGCCATTAACTAACAATAATTGGTTACAGGTCTTGGAATTGGGGTCAGTGGCCAGGAAGAGTTCTTGTAAGAGATTTGTAAGAAATTTATTATTTCTTCTGAGTGCATAAAGCAAGAGATCATATGTTATGCTTCCTTCAAATAAACTCATTTGATGATTTACTTTGTGGGATGTAAGATTGTCAGTCCATGCTTTATGGAGACATTTTTGACCCCTTTTTAGTTTTAGTTTATATAGCAGTACTGATTTCTCTGCTGCACAGCAAATTCAGGTTGCTGTCTAAAAATTAAGCTTTGAATCCTGGATGAATATTTGTGAAAGTAGGCTTTGTATGTTCTTTCAAAAAAATCTTATTTGCCTAGAATTACATGTAAGAATATAGTTTACTTTGGAGAATCTATGCTGTGTTGCTGGCATTCAGCTATTGCAGGGGATGCTACGAAATGTACTAATGAATAAAATTCATTATAAATAATCCGGTGTTTAGGAGTCCTCTAAACCAGAGAGGGATTACAGTTAGTCAGATGAGCTGGATGCTGTATTAGCAAGGATACAATGACCCAAATTATATTTTCTGTTGAAAATATAATGTCAGATTACTCTGTTTTCATCTGTACAGTAAACTTTGAACTCATTGCATTTATAGGTAATTTTGCCACTGATTCCAGTAGGACAAAAATACAATATGCAGCATGGCTGGGAATTGTGCTGACTTTTCCCTTTGAATACCTGACTCTTATACCTTTTAGTATTATTACTATAGATTACTTTAGTCTCTTTTGTTTGTGCATGCTTAACTTATTTTTGTTTACTTGTTATGGTTTTTTGCTGTTAAGCACATTCCTTTTCAACTGCTTTGTAGCAAACATTCAGCAGTGTAAATAAACACCAAGGGAAAGTAGTCCTTTTAACAGCCACACAATAAACCTCCCAACATACAGAATTCATTGATCCTAATTATGCTGATCTCTGGGATGAGGCACCTCATGTAGTTCACTCGAATTCCTTACTGTTTCACAACAGCTGATTTTATCTGCTTTAGTATTGTTTCTGTGCCACAGGTACTAACTCCTATGTTGTTTTTTTTTTCTTCTCTGGTTGTTTGAAATAAGAGCCATATAAAGGCCAAAATAAGAGCCATGTTTTCTGACCTCATTTTGTCTTGCAGTTTGTTGTTGCTTTGTCAGATCTGATACAAGTATTTTTCCTGAAGTCCATTCTGTTGAAGTGTTGTCATTACTCAGATATTTTCCACTGGAAACTTGGATAGTCACTTTAGAACAAGCCACAAAATATGTGGATTTAATGGCAAAATCTTAGACCAACAATTTTAAACTTCAGGAGTGATCTTGAGTACTTAACTAGCATTAATTGAGGAGCCTGATTTCCAAATATTACTGTATTGTCTGGTAACTCAGGCACTTTTAATATAACATGATATGTTCACTCCAAAGTTAATCCATGAAAAAGGATCAGAAAAATTGGAAAGATGTGGTTGTTAAAATGGATCTGAGTTATGGAATCTAAGTTTTACTTCAGAATTCAAAATTCATTGAGGCAAACATAATCTTCTCAGGACAAATAAACCTCTTAGTGAAATCATGCTTTTTAGAAAAGCGTTGCCTTGAACAATATTATGCAGCTTCATGTACTTCGTGGTTTTCATCTCCGTGTGTTTAATAGTTAACAAGCTAACACAGATGAACAAAGGCTGATATGTGCTTTTTGACAACTTGGGATGAAGTGAGTGAAAAGCAGCATAATTCATATGAACAGCTTACAGGGAGGCTTTGCGTGTTATCCTAGCTGTTACCACTCAGCTGATCTCAAGAGTTATATCACCCTGACTTCAAGGGCTGGATGCATTTTGTGTCAGACAGTCTTATTCTAGAATAACATACAGCATAGTTGCATTTTTCTCAGAAGAAATGAAATTAAAGTGTGAGTGGGGGTAGAGCAGAAGATTTTTTTCTGTCTATTAAATTTGTGACGTATGACTGAAATTTCTAGTGATACACTTTGTTAAAGTGCTGGCACCTTCTGATAGTACTGCATGTTCTGAAGCTTTATTTCATGAATAAAAATTGTCCTGTTTGCAGGTCATATTAGTTTGTCATCTTTCAGTTTAATGCTTGCAGCATGGATATCTCTATTTGTTATTAACCCCTTCTAAAACTAACCTGACCAGAAGCATAATTTGTTACTGTCATCTCCTGAACACTTGAGCTTTCCTACCTCTTTGGTAAGAGAACCAGAGCCTGGCTTTTACCCTCTTATTCCTTAGCTTAATCAAATATATAAAGGAAGACCTAAGTGTATGCTGCTAACTGCACCAAGACGTTTCCCTGTACCCTGGCCTGTGTGTTTTTTTCTAAAGCTGCATTGTCAGAGTTCAAGTCCCCAAAAAGTGCTTCTACTTTTGCAGTTTCTGCTGCAGGGTGTGGTTCCTTAGCAATATATAACAGTTTAAGCTGGTGTAGTACTGTGCTCCTATTTCCATTGTTTCACCCTTTCCTGAGGATGGTCCTGTCCGTTGTGTGATTAGGGCCTGATTCTGCTTGAGATTAGTCACTCTTTTGGTGGTTAGTTTTCTTTGAAGTGCTTCTCTATTAGAACAGAATAAATAGCTTGGGATGGAGAAATGTGTGGGGCAGCAGCAGCTACAGTTCAGATGAGATTGAACTGCTATGGGACCTCTCCCTGAGAACACACCAAGGTTATAATCATGGGAGAAACTACTTTCTGTCTGTTGCAGCATGGTATGGCTCAAACTTATAAAGTTTTATGACATCATCTTTCACTCTCACTGAAAAGGACTCTATTAAATTTGTACTCAACAGTTAGGAGTTCCCAGTCATGTTCATATTCTATATGCTGGTTACTGTTAATGCTATAGCCTGTGAGGGTAGTGCATCTAGCATGGAATGCAAAAATGAAAAGTTTTTCTAAAGAGGAAGCAGTGGAAGAAGAAAAATATATGCCCAGCTTAATTGTAATGAGAAGACTTGGTTATAATAAATCTTGTGTTTAGATACTCCTTTTATTGTTACTCAGCTTAATGGTTTTTCGTATTTTCTCTGCTGAATCCTCTTTCTTTTCTTTTCTAGGTGTTTAAACATTATCCATGCATTTTGCACTGCGACAGAAAATGTCATTGTAGACCTGATTCCAGTGTTACAGTAGTGCAACTCAACTGACTTCTGCTTATGGGTGTGAAAAGTGAGATCAAACCTGGGTCACTACTCCAAGTGTTGTTCTCACTGTGCTGTGTCACTCAGTAAACAACAAGATACTGCCAGTAGCCCTCTAGCATCGATTTGAAGGGAGGTGCATCAATTCACCCTCTCCTTGTTCTTCCATTCTACTTGCAGGTAAGATTAGATGGAAACATCTGAGAAATAATAGAATTTACTTGTTGTAAAGGCGTTTTTGGTTTTGTAACCTCGATTAGTTGTATTTTACAGACCAATGCTGGTAGCAGGGGTCTTTGAGTTAGTCTTTTGGTATAATACACTGTGTGGTTCTGGGAAGTAGAAGAATAGGTGGGGAGGTGGCCTTCCAGAGCAGAGAGTTTGTATTACAGAATTTTTAATTGAAATAATTCCCCCAAATTATTCTCAAGGAGAAATATCTTCAAGTTTTCAGCAACATGAGGGTTTTTCAGGGTTTGGTTTTGGGGAGGGGTTGTTTGGGGTTTTTGTTTGGTTTCTTATTCTTTTTTTTGTTTGTTTTGTTTTAGAAAAGACACTTTTCTTTACAATTGCAATGAATCCTTTCTTGTATTTTACTTAAAATAGGATCCCATCCCACTCCATGAACATGAGTTTCACATCAAATTCCTCATTCTAGGAGTAGGCATTTAGAAATGCTCAGCAAGGACTCATTGATAACTTTCTCCTTTACCTCAAATTTTGGCTTCTGTTTTGTCACCTGTGTTTCCATTTACCTGTCCTTGTTTCATTTGGGAAATTGAATTTACTTCAATGCCTCCTCATTTGTCTGTGCAAATGAATGTTGGGTCAGACTCTGGGTTATTTTTATGTATGCTAGACTTAATTAAAATCCTAAAAATCAAGGTCTACTCCTTCTCATTCTGCTCACCTGTTGTGTTTTTTCTGGAACTGAGTAGCACTGAGTACTTAGCAGGTGTGTGGGAAGATGAGTAGCATGTAACTTCAGTTGCAATGCAGGCTGCAGTACAAAACCCTTGCTTGCTTTGTTGGTCATTTTATAAATTAGTTTGTAGAGCTACGTGGAACAGTATTTACTTTCAGCTTCTCGACATTTAGTAAATGCAGAAAATGCAGGTGTCGTTATTCGGGGGTCTCAGCATTTACGGAACTGTCTCTTTTTTAAATGGTTACATTACGGGGCTGCAGCTGGCTCCTCGAGTGACTCATACGGGCTTAGCATCATCCCTTTCGCTGTCTGTCATCTTGCCACCTGCTGGCAAGAGGTGCAAGGCTGCAGTATGTGGAAATCAGACTCCCTGCTTTTAGGGAAAGACTCTCTCCTGCTTTCAGTGTGCACAGTGGACCGAGTCCCACCTGTTTCCAACAAATCTGGGCTCTTTATGTCTCGAAGTGGAGCACTTTGCTTAAAATACCACAAGAATTTTCAGAGGGGTCCAGGTGTGCTAAACATTCAGCTTGAAAGAAAAAAAAAAGAGCTTTCCTAGCTCTTTTCTCAATATCCAGCTTAAAATGATTTTGTGCTTCATTTTTGAGGGGTGAGTCTCTTTTTGCTAAAATAAACAGTAAAACTTATGTTGATTTACAGCTTCGTTAAATTTGTGTATTAGAAATAAATACAAAGTTTACCTCTATCAATTTCAATGTTGTGTTGTAAAGTGGTCACATAAAATATTTTCTGTTAATTTTTTTTAAACAGTTACCACACCTCAGCATCTGAAACACGCTGAAACAGTTTCTCCGAATTGAAACAGAAAACAGCGCTTGTGTGTAGGATAGCACATGGTGAGTTTGCAGAGTTCCTCTTTAATGGCAACCACTGTAACTTTTAAATTCTTATAACCATTTCTAAACTACTTTTAAATGCAACCTTCAGTTCTTTAGAGTGTACTAGTGAATCAGTGCCTTCAAAGTTAATGAATAAAAGCTACTATACAACTGAGACAGGAATTCTGTAAGTGTCGGACAACTGCTCCAGTGACTTTTGTGACATTTAAAAACTTAATGTTTGCAATATTTTAATACTTTGGGTTTTTTTCCTGATTTTTCTTATTATGGGATCCTACTTTGATGTAATTTTTAGCTCCTGTTTGTACAGGGAAATAAGGTATTTTATTTTAATGATCTCTTTGCTATACTATTTGACTAACACAGGCCTTGTCACTTCCCTAAGGATGCCATTATTGAGGCAGTTATAGTACATGTTTTAATGACTACCAGTAGTAAATATATACTTATCTGATTCAAATTAAAAGTAAAGCATGATACAGCTTTTTTATATTTTCCCATAAGCAAGACTGTATTCTTTGAGATTTGTAATATAATGAAATGTGTAGTGTGATACAAGTTGAACTTTTGTTTTTATGCATATGTATAAATGTAAAGTATATAGGTATGCACACAAACATTCAAACATACCTCCTTCAGCAAAAACTATTACTTCATCATATGCTCAGAAATGCTGCCTTCAGTTAATGCTGTTTTGCTGTTGGTTCTGTTATGATGCTTAATTTTTAATGAAATTAAAATGTAGCTTTCTTTATTCTTGGACCATTTCACATTGAATTCCTCAAGGAAATATGCAAGGGCAACATTAGGTTTGCATTAGTGTTATTTTTCAGATCATGCACATTTTGCAGTCATTGAGGGTTCAAAGCCCATGACAGTTTAAATAAGGTGGCCATTTAAACTGTAGACCTGAGAGCTTTTCAATTTTTAATGTTTGGTTTCCGAATAAGAAGATGCTGATATAATTTGAGTTATTGAATGGAACACAGTGAACCACTCACAATGTAGGTTTCACTGAGGTAACCTTGGCGTGGGGCTGGTGGGATTCATGCCAATTAATCAGTCTGAGTATATAAATTGGAATCCCCAGTTGTGTGGTGAAACCTGGACATTGGCTTTGTAGAATTATTATGTCCAAGATCAGATAACTGGATAACAATTATCAGATAGGTTTTTCTAATTACCAGCAATTACTACCAGAAGGACATTCATTCTTCCAAAGCACATAGTCAGGCTGTTAATCTGTTACATTTATTTGGACAAGCCTACAGTAGCTTCTCAAAGTACTAGAAATATCTTCAGCTTGCAAACTAACTTTGTAATTCCACAAACTGCTTAAGCTGAAAGGAAGCAATGCTGCTGCTCAGAGATAATTCCAACCAATTGGTCATTCTAATCATTTCACTCTCCCTTCCTCTATTCCTACTCAGGTGTTTATGCACATAGTAAATCAGTTCAGAGAGAACTGTCTTTAGAAAGAGTGAACTGGCTGATCCCAGTATAGATGAAGCTGGAGACATTAGAACTTGTAGCTGAATGAGTTGATTGCATCATCATGTGAAGACAGTGATATGGCCAAATTGAGTCCTTTGTGTAATCAACAACCTCCTAAGAACATGTTATGATGATAAAACTGTACCCATGCTGCTCTTAAGGAGACATGTATTAGACAAAATGCATACAATAGCTGACAATTCAGTTTAACACTGTAACTTCTTAATTTTGCTAGGACAGATCAGAGCCTCTTGGAAGCATGTGTTAAGCTCTGTTACCTTAATCATGTAATTACTCCTTTCTAGCAAAATTAAATTTTTCTTGACCTCTGTAATGCACAAAAGCAAATAGGAGTTCTGGTTTTCTCTTATTTGCTGGGGCGGGGTGAAAACAAACATACATGGTACACTGCAAGCACTGTGCATTGTGCTTTCATTGGCCGTATTTTTCCAATATCCTTTTGAGTAATGAAAACTCTGATCTAATACCAATCAAGTGACAAAACTGTCTAGTTCAATGGAATTGAATACCTGTTACTTATGGGAATATCTCTGTTGTTGATTTTCACTGTGATTGGATGAAGAATGTTGACTTTTTCGTGCCAGTATGAACTGCTAATTGTGCTTTTTATGGCTTACAATGCAGCAAACCTCCAGCTCTGAATATGTCTGAAACGTTCTTGCAAGTCAGTCCAGTTGTATCCTAGAATAAATTTGAAAAGGGAGCTGAGAGCTTCTCATTGTTGAGCTGTATCCCAAAGAATAAAGACGTTAGATCGTACAGAGAAGGAGAGTAGCATGGGAAGTTTAAAATGCCATTGTAGAAAACTAAGACTTGTATTTATTTGAATTGCTGTGATTTGGTTACTGTTTTGCAAGAGAAAACTAGTGGGTTTGGAGACAAAATAGTTAGAAACCACTTAGTTTTTCACAGGAGATTAGACTGAAAATTTTGTGTTTAGTTTCAAACGTGGATGAATAAGAAAGTCCTTGGCAGCCTGAAAAGAAATAATAACTAGCATAGATTGAGAAGGTAGAGTAGAAGAATCCAGCTGGTGTTAAGTGATGCTTTTAAAATGTATAAGAGCAAATTCCTAATTAACTCATGGAATTCTGTTACAAGGTACTGAACAACTTGAGTCTGAATAATTTGAGGCTGTTTTGTGGCCATAAGAATTATTACTCCATTGCAATGGGGAGGGATACAAATATGTATATTATATATAAACATATTTTTCTTATTTGAAAGTTCACATTTTTCTTTAGTTATATAATCTGAACTGACACAATCCCATTCCTTCATAATTATGTACATATGTGCATAAATATACACTTATATTTGTTAATATATTTGTGTGTGTTTGTAGTGCCTATATATTTTTATGTATATGTGTATATTTATATGCTTATTTCTGGCTTGTTTAGCATAGCAAAGGAAAAACGAAGAGAGAATGTGGTAGCTTTCTATATGAAGAAACTAGAAGTGGAATAAATATCAAGGAGGAAAAGTTGATTAAATGGAAAAAAAACTGTTGGTAAAGAGTAAAAAGACATGATAGGGACACAAGTAAGTTCTGTCAGGAATTTTCTAGAAGGTAACAAGCTCTCAGAGTTAGGCTGTAGAATGATGTTGTTAGAGTAGTGAGAGTAAGAAAACCCTACTAGTTTTGATTCAGAACTCGATAAATTTGAGTAGATAAGATTGAATCAGCTGTAGATTGGACCTGTAACCTAGAAGGCCCTCCCCTCGGTCCCATATCCCAAAATGAATAACTTCAAGTGCTTCAATATGATGTGGATGTAATATTAAATTCAAATTATATATGGTATCACTCTTATGTGTGTTGATACAACATATTTAAATGAATATTTTTCTTTACATTTTATTGTTCAACACGTTTGTTTTGCTAGTATGAGAGAACTGCTAGAACCACTCTGAAAAACTGCTGTGCAAGTTGCCATAGCAATTAAATCAGAGGTCCATGGTGTTCCTTTCTTGTGTCTTAATTCTGTTTATGATTTTTAAAACAACAAACCAATATTTCACATTTTATTCATATTTTTCTGGCTTGTTAGAGATTAGATCCAGATATTTTTGAATTCTTATGTTCCTTGCCCTAAATGTGCTTAAATATATCAACTGTTCTAATTTACCCATACTTGGGATTCTTTCTGTCTACTTATATTGTTTATGTACATCATGAACAGCACAGGGCAGGGCCAATGATTTCAAAAGATCTCTGAGACCTTGGGATGTTCTTGTGCTTTAAATATTGTCCCTCAGTGTGGCTCCATTTGGCAACATTTCTAAGCTGTATTTTGTGCTGGTTTAAAGGTAAACCAGCAGGGGAAAATGAACTCAACCCAAAAGAGATTATAAGTCAGAATAAGAATTTAATAAAATAATACAATAAGTACGATTATACAGACAAACAATTGGTTTTAACCCACAAAACCCAAATGTATAACCCAGCACCCTGGGGCATGAACAGAGTGGTGTTCTTTGGGCCCCCTGAGTCTAAAGTAGAGGGAGAGGGGGAAAACCTGTTGGTGAGTGTGCTGTTGCAGTCTGGTTGAAAGTGGTGATTGCAGTCCAGTCGAGAGAGGTGGTCTGCAGTTTGGTTGAGAGCAGTGAGCTACAGTCTTCCTCTGGATCCCACGAGTGGTTAAAAAAGTCCCAAGACTCCAAGATTATATATTCTCCAGTTCAGGCAGGAATGCTCAGTACTTCCCTCAGGGCTGAGGACAAAAACACCCTTCTATCTCGAAGGCCTCTTAATGCCTAGTTTGTAGCCTGATGAGTCAGGCTGCTCTGGGCAGAGGGTGTTAATAGTCTGTTGACAACAGTTTCTGGGAAATGGCATGGAAGGCTATAGAATACACAGTTTTGGGTTACACCCATTCAGTGATGAACTGGACCCAGCTGTTCTAACTAGGACATATTTCTAATTTAAAAAAAAAATTGACAGGTCTTTCTTTCCCCTGCCTTACTGTTGATCCTAGCAATTATAAACTCAGGAAGAATTTACTAACAAGGCTCTGCTTAGATCTTCACTTACTGTAGCTTCTCCCAGAGGCCACAAATGAGTACACAATAAAAGATAACTTCTCTCCTGGAGTGTTTTCAAATCATCCAAGACAGACTGAGGGAAGGAGAAGAGAGAGTGATAAACGCCATGTGACAGAGGGTTTGCTGAAACCCCCCCGGCCTGTATTTGGTGTTTCTGCTGTAGTGACCAAGGTGGAGAAAGGCTTTCTTAGACAGTTCAAGCTGCCTTCTATCCTGTGTCATCGCACCCTTGTTCATGGAGATATGGAGCCCTGTGTTCATGAGGAGAGAGTTATTGTGGTGTGAAGGGGACACAAGCTACAACTAAGCATGGCCTGGGGAGACTGAAGGCAGAGTTATTGGGAATTCAGACGTTTTGTTCCATGGAAAAATCCACAAGAACTTCAGAAAGCTGCAGGAAGTTATGCTGATTGGAAGAAAAACATAGAAATTCT